CTTTTTTATAATGTCACAGCTGTGTTTTTGGCCGCAATAATCCATTTTATTCCATCGGTTAATGTCGACAGCGTAGCCTCTTCAAAATCAAAAACTGTCTAAATTGTCACATTTAACATTAAAAAATAACTTAAAAATAAAAAGAAGATTGAATAAAATATTCATATCATAAAACGTTCATCAAATATGTATATAAAATAATTTTTTTTAAATTTGTTTCAGGTTCAGGTCAAATTCAACTCTGGCAATTTCTATTAGAACTTCTAAGTGATTCTTCAAACGCAGCTTGTATCACGTGGGAAGGTACAAACGGGGAATTCAAGTTAACAGATCCAGATGAAGTGGCTCGTCGATGGGGCGAAAGAAAATCAAAACCAAACATGAACTACGACAAACTATCGAGGGCGCTGAGGTACGTCACGTCGTAGATCGATCGAATTTTTTGGGGCGAGCCTTCGTTTCTGGGGGGCGCAATTGAAATTAGTCGATTTTTGCCCCTTTGTGTGCGGAATTGGAGAAAAATTGCCCGGTAACTGAGTTACGGTTGCCGTATCGGCCTTTTAATTGCCGCAAATGAACGCGCCGTCGATATAACGGAGGGTCCCGTCGGTACGCTAACAAATCTAAAATGGGACCCAACCTATTCGGTTACTCAGAGAAGTTTTCCCCCATAAAACCCGGTTAAAGTACCTCGTAGGTTTTGCAGGACTACTGTTCTATGACGAATGTCGTTTCGAGGGCGCTTCGATGTTGAAGTCAAATGTCACGGTTGACCCCAGATAGACAATTTTTGGTCCCGTAAATCGTCGGGTTTATTATTTTTTTTATCGAAGCAGGGGAAATTTGGTTTATTTCCAGTTTTATTAACGTCCGAATCCCAACATCGAACTAATAACGTAGTTAAAATAGAACTCAAAATTTTTATGTACGTTTGATAAAATATTCAATTGAACTTTTGAAGTGCGGAAAATATTTTCCAGCATATTGAAAAGCGGTGAGTACGTCGCATCCGCTTCCAAATAGAAATACATAGATTTAGTGTGGTGACATCCGAAATACGGAATGGACGCGGACCGGGCTGAGCATATTAGGGTGTCCGGTGTAGCCGCCGGTGCTGGCTCCGGTTCCGGTTCCGCAGGACATCGCCACATCCTCCGGAACGCGGACGTCTCCGTCTCCCATAGATTTCGCAATTATATCGACGACGGCGTTGCGCGGAAATTGCGCTCGCGACGCCCTCTGTCGCCCGAGCACAATGCCAACATACACGTGCACCTCAACGTCACAATTTACCACAACCGGTGACCTCCATACATTTCATTTCCAGGTAGTACCTACAGAGAATTACTATAATAACAAACATGTTCAGTCAAAATTTATTTGCTTATAATTATATACATATGTATGTTTATGAAGTGGCTCACATAATATTATGTAATCTAAAATGTATGTTTCAGGTATTATTATGATAAGAACATAATGACCAAAGTGCACGGAAAGAGATATGCCTACAAATTTGACTTCCAAGGACTTGCCGCTGCAACGCAACCAGCTACCAGCGATCCCAGCAGCTACAAATACCAAAGTGAACTGTTTATGAGCTCGTATCATCACAGCGCAAAGTTGGGGTCGTTCATGAGTCCTCATGCAACGATTCCAAGTTCAGCAGGTTAGTACATACTAAAACTTTAAAGATATTTAAGATTATGTTCACATAAAGCTCCAATGTAAATCTCCAAATTCAACTCTATCTTCAATAATCTTTACATAATTCTCAATACACAAAACAATATCTAAAGGTTTCTTATGATTCCAAAAAATTTTCAAAAAATGTTCATAAATATCTCTTGATTGCTAGAAATTATTTGAGGCATCATTTATTTCTGGAATTTAGCAACAAACTTTCTTAGGTTATCCCAGAATTTTTAAGGGTTAGTGAAAATATCTATAAATTTTCAGAGGTTTTCCAAAATCATTTTAAAAACTTCTTTAGATTGCCGAAAGGCTATTTGATTTGCTTAAAAACAAGACTTCTGCGAATATCCAGACAACATCCAAGAATTTCCTGGAATGTCTAAAGATTGCAAAAGATCTCTAAAAAGCTGGCTATTATAGTAAACGCCACGAGAGCTGGCAGTAATCATCGTTTTCCGCTCTTACAAATGCCATACGTAGTAAATTAAAATTCAGAAACTGCTAGAGAGTAATGTGTGTTAGAAAGAAATAGCATTAGTTCAATATGTCTGCTGTACAATTTAAATGGCCACGTCGAAAAAGTACGTCTGTTCTTCTAAGGGATGTAACTCTATAATTATAACCTCAAATCGAAACGTCTTGTGAGCGTTGTCATGAATCTGTTAGTGGATTCACAAGCCGAAAATGTTTTCTTTGAAAGGAAAATCATTAAATAATATCTTTGACAATGTTTGACATATAACCTCCATAATAAGTCGTACGTCCATATCTTGATTCATACCATTTTTAAGCGACCTGTCATTGCCAGCTCTCGTGGTTTCTACTATAACTAAAAACACTTATTTCGTAATGTCACTTAAAATAAGCGAAAATTCAGTAGTCGGCTATGAAATTGTACGTCAAACTTGACAAACAGGTTATAAAGTTATTTGA